CTGTGGTGAGTCGTCATTTTCATGCACTTTGAATTTGTGTTGTATCGTATTTTGAAGGCATTAAACATTACCAGAGCGATAAGAGTGTTGCGACCAGATTAGACGCTCCTTGTGTTTATTATTATATTTCGAAAACACCACAGTTTTCATGCAGCTCATACGATATTATTTTGTTGTATTAATCCGCCACACCTTAAATGCCGGTCCCTGAAAATATTGTCTGACTTAAACCGGTCCGTGGGGCAAAAAAGGTTGGGGACCCCTGGTGTAGATGGAAAAATGTCATGGTACGCAACCAAACAAAAGTGTCACAAAGTTATGCATTCTGAAGTACTGTATTTTCCACACTAAAAGGCACACCTTCAATGAATGGCCTCTTTTGTAATTTTTTTCATTTATTGGACGCAGCATTATAAGACGCAATCTAGAATGCATCCACTAGATAGAGCTACGCTCAAGGAAATGCCAACAGAACACTACTCTACACCCTGTTTTATATAGCGACGATCAGATGTCAGTAAAACTTATTTAATTAATAAAGCAGCGACACAGTTCACTTAACCAACAGCAAGTCATAACATTGACTCATTAACATTGAACTCTCTTGTCGCTGCTCTATTTCCGTGTTCAACTGTGAAACCGATCGCCTTAAATTGGAACTCTGTGTTGTAAGCATGTCTCCAGCAAGGAGCCATTTTGACATATTACCGTAATGACCATACACAGGGTGCATCAGATTTTAAGGCGCTGTGAGCTTTTAAGAAAATGGAAGGCTTTTAGGTGCACCTTTTAGTGCGGAAAATACGGTAATGATAATATTTTCTTACTGTTAAATCGACTCGCTCCGTGAAATCTGAGCCAGTTTAAGTTAAACAGAAGACCCTTGGAGATCTTCTTCAACAGCTTTGAGTCATCTTGAAAAGCTATAACAAAGCTAAAAAATAATTCTCTGAGAGATTCAGTTCAATTTGATCATTTCCTGTGGCACATCTGATGACACTGTGTTTGGAAATTACTGCCCTTTTCTGCTCGTCAGTCTAATTATTGCTTCCTCTTGGATTTTTTTTTCCGATTGAATTATTGTGAGTCACTTTAGTTCTGCAGTATGATCATCTAAATAGAAGAATATTTGCACAAAATGAATTTGTCATTTCAAAGAAACAATGGGGCGCATCTATGTGGCAACGTAATTCTCAGGTTGTGTGACCGTATCCTTGATTGTTTGGCAGATTGTGATCCTCCCATGTCAATTTAGTCCTCTCCGTCTGATCCAGCAATGGCATCTGGCGTCATCATCACTCCAAAAATAGAAATCTACAACTGATTCGTCATTGCGTTAGTCCGCCAATGAGCTTTCGTCTGTATTTCAGGCCCACGCAGTCGGTCCGAGTGAGCCAAACGGTGTCGAGAACGGACTTACCGGTACCACGTCACGCGCAGGTGCCGCACACCTGACACGCGGCCAAATAAATTAAACATGAAAAATTGTTCTATAACTTTCGGTCCCACAGGCCGCAATGACATGTCTCTCATATTGTTTTTATTTCACCGATCACCACGCTGTGCGTGATGTGTCTCTGGTGTTTTCATTTCAATTTTTTTCTTGATTTTGCTTGTACGGCGCCATGCTTGTTACATGGTACATATGTTGTTGACACAGATTGTCTTTTGCCAATGAGGTACAGACTGGTCGTATGTGGGTCGGTCTGAAGTACTGACGGAAACAGTGATGGTTCAATGATGCCCACCTCTGCCGATAAGCATGGAGACGCTGGAGTGAACGGATTGAAATTGGTTCTTTATTGGAAGCTGTTCTGGATGCCCATCCCAAAGATTGAAGTTGTATTTTTTGTGCCTTTTTACAGCTGATTGTCAGCTGATATTTCAAGCTGTAAATGCCCATTTACAGGTATTTTCTGGTTTTTCTGGGTCACTTTTCCCTTGATTCTGTTGCACGCCTGTCTTCACATTTGTTCCAGGTTAAAAAGGTAGAGCAGATATTTTTTTGTAACTCAAAACAAGACAAAAGAAAACGATAAAATCAAATGAATAAATGTACAATTTAAAATAAAGATATACAGATATAACAGAACTTACTCATTCATGTGATTTTGAAAAAAATCTATACAATTCAGTAAAAAAATCTTACTCTTATGACAGTTGCATTGATACATTTTGGTAGAAATTACTCAACTTTCGGTTGCACATGACTATTTTCAAATGATATCTTTTAGTTTAGCACATTTTGATTATGCGCAACCGATGTACATGCCCGAATTAAATCCAATGGAAACAGGATTTTTTTTCAGTGTATACACAAGCTGTACTGTCTGTGAGTGCACAACAAATGACTAACACCTCGTAAGTCACACTTTCTTTCTCGAATTGTTTGTTTTTCCAATGGCACTGTGGTTTCTTGTACATCAAATTAAAGGTGCAAGATGGGGCCAGAGACATCTGATTATTTCATTGATTATATTTATCATGTGCCGTGGTGGCCTGAGATACTGTATGAGTGACTCAGCGTTTCTTTGAGATATGAGCTGCCATTCAGCCAATTGTTTTTTTGTTTTTTTTTTTTAATGCTTTGACTTGCGAGCGCAAACTTGAGATATGAGCAGTTTGGCAAATATTCAACAATTCATCTAAAAACATCTTTAATCCCACACTTAATTTATTTTACAGTCAAACTAAAGGTGAATCGAGGAGAAATACTCATTTACCACACAACCTTGCCCGATTAACCCTTTCATGGCTCCTGTAACCTGATAACATCATAAACTATCCACTGTAGTAACCGCTGTCCCTGAAAGGGTTAAAGTACGTTTATCTTAATCCTAACAAATCAGGCAAATTCTAATCATTAGCATCCAAAGTCATGGTTTAGAGCGGTTTATGAGCGTGGTGATGGAACAAATCAAACTCGTATCTCAGGGCACCACTGTGTTACTGTTGGGCCATAATGATTTGTTACCAATGACAAAAAGGGTTTTGTTTTGTTTTTTTTCAATTGTAGATTATTTTTTATAACTTCACTTTCCCTCAACAATCTTAAAAAATGTCCAAATTGATCGTCAACAAGACGTGCCACAGACAGACCTGTCCAATGTGACTGGAAAGAGATTGTAAAGGTCCGACAAGGTGCTTCAAAAAATATATATACATTTAATTATGCAACTGTATTTTCTATTTTAAATTTATCCCACTTTGGGATTTCAGTTCATTTTTCAACTGAATTGTATAGTTGCATTTAAAAATTGGAAACGCTTCAACTTGTTTTATCTATTTATTTTTATTATGATATTTATATATTATTTTCAATAGCTGAATGAGACGTAGAGTGTATCACAGTTATCATCTTCCCATTCCTGTACACCTCTGTAAAATATCTGCTCCTCTCCAAAGGCTGCTTTGGTGTTCACGTATACCTCATGACGACTCCCAGCAATTATAATGCCTCCCCTGTGCGGGTAGTCTACACACACTCCACTATATTGTTCAATATAAATGTGATGACGCAAATACACTTTTGCTGCAGGTGTGGTATTCTGCAGTCATAAAATATATTCTGTAAATATGTGTAGAGAGCTATATGTGTATTTAATTAATCATTCTCGCATATGTGCTGAATGCATCACACAACAGTGGTCATCATTTTGTGCTGTGATGTAAAAGAAAAATATATGATCGAGCCTTTTAAGGACCAATTCAATTTTTGATTCTACCAGCCCGTTTGGTTCACGAATGTTTTCTTCTATGAGACCTGAGTGTGAATTACAGTACTTGCTTTGTAATGGAAATTGGTGAGAAATACAATACAAAACAGAACAATACATTTATATAATGCCAAACGTTTGCAGCAGCTGAGTGGATTTCAACTTTTGTGCCCATTGTGCCACATACTGTTGCCTTGGTAACATGAACTGTTTCATCCTGACCACTGTTTTATTGTAAAAGTCATAATTTGAATTAAGCATCACCCTTGTAAATCCATCCAAAATCCTTCATTATGCACTCTGTTGTATCCAATATGATGATTCGTTTTTTAATTGTGTTACGGCAATTCTAGAAGCATTATGGAGATATACTGTGAGATGTTATTTTTGTATAGATTACTTTTTTTTTTTATTACTCAGGTTATAAGATTCTTTAGATTGATAAGCCATTCAGGAGGGAAAGTTACATGTTTTCATAAAAAATGAATATTATTTTTGATGAGGGCGATCAAAAGCCCTTTATGGCAACATCAGGAGACACAGACTGTTATCTATAATCTGGAAAAATCCCATTTAATTCTCTGCATTCCTCCCCCCAAAATGGTGAAACACCGAAAGAATGACACCGCCAAATCACCGACCAGTGTCCGTACAGTGTCGCTTCGGTTTCCCAACGTTCTTTTTTAACACTTTAAGTTCCCAAATCAGATTATTTCTGAAGTGTAAACGCGAAAGTGCAAATAAAGGATTGAATCAATATCATGTCTGTTTTATTGCTTTTTAAGCATCACCGTTGGTCAGCAGGTGGCAGCAACAGTACAGTCGAGTCGTTCGAGGAACAGTCTCGTCTCAATTCTTTTGATTTTTTAACCCTGACTGACCCGCGACCAGTTCAGAGTGTGGTTAGCTGGGAAAGGCTCCAGCAACTCCACGCGACCCTGTTCAGCACAACCGATGTTGAAAATGGATGGATGGATTACTGACTGTATATTTTTATAAAGTAAAATACTATAGAGTGAATTATTTTTCTCGTTAAATACACCATACAATTTTTTCTTTTTTCATTTCACTGAGAAAGACAAGTTAATGGCAATGTTTTTTTTTAGCGTGTTCCGTCTCGCTTGACAGTTACCTCACGTTCCACATCTTCAATTTTTTTCTGACACATAACACATTGACACTACTGGACTCATTCAAACCATTCACCAGATTTTGTCAATTGCTCTGCCTTCGTCAAAGGACTTAAAAGTGTTTGTTTACTAGTGGTGGAAAGGTCTACCTGACGAGGATTATGCAACGACGAGCTGTCTTATTTTGAAAGTCTGGACCGGGAGTCCGTCTTCATCTACGTGATGTTTTATTTCGAAAGTCCTAACCGGAAATCTTTAATCATCCCTTCCAAAGGAATTTTGCCATTCGCGCTGCGCTCCAGAGGGAAAGCTGATCGTAGCTCGCAGTCCAGACGCGCATGTGGCGCGGCTGCGCTCTATTTTGCTTACATTAGCGACACACACACACACACACACACACACACACACACACACACACACACACACACACACACACACACACACACA